AATATTTTGCCCATAGAATCTTTCAATATTGCAACTCAAGGCTTAATTTTTTTCCTCAATTCTTTCAGCTTGAGAAATGCCAAGCATGTTCTTCCCAAAAGGGGAAACCCTTTTGGTTTTCTAACTGCAAGTCTTTGCACATTTCATTATAGTAATTGGCTTTGCCTGCTCGAGCTGCTCTTTGAAATTTTCAGTTCAGCTCTTTCATCTTGTCATTTCTTCCCTTTGCTTTAGCTAGTCTCCACTCAAGGGCAAGTTTCAGAGTCTCTTCTGTCATCATTTTGGTCTTCTCTTCTTTTCTCCTCTTTTTACTGGCCTCTTGCTTTCTTCATGGATGATGTTCTTGATGTCATCCCATAATTCTTCTGGCTTTCAGTCATTGGTGTTCAATGCATCAAATCTATTCTTTAGATTGTCTCTAAATTCAGGAGGGATATATTCAAGATCATATTTTGGCTCTTGTGGACTTGTTTTAATTGTCTTTAACTTCAAATTGAACTTGCATATGAGCAGTTGATGGTCTGTTCCACAATCAGCTCCTGGCCTGAGTTTGGCTGAAGATATTGAGCTTTTCCATTGCCTCTTGCCATAGATGTAGTCAATCTGATTCCTGTGTGTTCTGTCTGGTGAAGTCCATGTGTACAGCTCACGTTTGTGTTGTTGAAAAAAGGTATTTGCAATGAATAAGTTCTTAGCCTTGCAAACTTCTACCATGCAATTTCCAGCATTATTTCTGTCACCAAGGCCAAATTTTCTAATTACCGATGATTCTTCTTTGTTTCCAACTTTTGCATTCCAGTCACCAGTGATAATTAACACATCCTGATTGCATGCTCAGTCAATTTCAGACTGAAGAATTTGATCAAAATCTTCAATTTCTTCATCTTTGGCTTTGGTGGTTGGTGCATAAATTTAAGTAATAGTCATATTAATGGGTCTTCCTTGAAGGTGCATGAATATTATCTTATAATTTACAGCATTGTACTTCAGGACAGATCTTGGAACATCCTTTGTGATGAAGAATGCCACACCATTCCTCTTCAACTTGTCATTCCTGGCAGAGTAGATCATATGGTTGTCTGATTCAGAATGACCAAAACCGGTCCATTTCTGCTTACTAATGCCTAGGATATCAATCTTTATGCATTCCATTTCATTTTTGACAACTTTCAATTTTCTTGGATTCATACTTCGTACATTCCATGTTCTGATTATTAATGGATGTTTGCAGCTGTTTCTCCTCAATTTGAGTGGTGCCACATCAGCAAATGGAGGTCTTGAAAGCTTTACCTTATCCATACAAGCAAGGCTGGTTTTACTCTGATGATGCAGCTCTTTCCCAGTCCTATTTTGAGAGCCTTCTAACCTAAGTGACTCATCCTCCTCCTCTGTATTGGACAATGTTTCCAGATTATTCATAAAGTTGCACAGCAATGTATCAGTGTTCCTCTGCTATTCATAAGGTTTTCCCTGGCCAATTCTTTAAGAAGTGGATGGTCTCTTCCTTCTTCCTATTCTGACTCAGTCTGCAAGCCGGGCTGACATGTGTGCACCATGTGCACCCTACTGGGTTTGAAACACCAGTAGCACAGCCTCAAGACTCACAGCAACACGTCACCACAGTAGGACAAACCAACAGACAAGTTTGTCTCCCTTAGCTGTTGGAAACCTCTCCAACCTCCCCTTACTTGGATCCCTACTACTGCTCCTTACTATGTCCCGGTCCCCTGGCTTTTTGCTGTCCTTTCCCCCGCTTTCCCGCCTTGCCACTTGTGGGGCATGGCCTGAGTTCCCTCCCCTCATCTGGATCCCTGTGGCTGACTCCTTGCTCTGTCCTGGTCCCCCTGGCCTTTTTCTGTCCTTTCCCCCACTTTCCTGCCTTGCCACTTTGGGGTATGGCCTGGGTTCCCTCCCCTCCCCTGGATCCCAGTGGCTGACTCCTTGCTCTCTCCCTGTCCCCCTCCTCTTTTTCTGCCCTTTACCCTGCTTTCCCACCTTGCCACTTGTGGGGTGTGGCCTGGATTCCCTCCCCTCACCTGGATCATTTCTGTGTTTTGAATTTTGTTCCACATTTTTCCTCCCACTCTATCCAGGATCTTCAGTTTTGATCACTTTCTGAGCAGTTGGCATTGGTAGCCGGGCACCATCTAGTTCTTCTGGTCTTGGGATCATGAAGACTGAGGTCCTCAGGGTCCATCTTATCCTTGGACTAATTGTTTCCAGATGCCTTTGATTTTATTCACTCTTCTTTGATTCAGATCAGAGGAGACCAATTGGTACACCTTAGATGGCTGCTGGAAAGCTTTTAAGACCTCAGTCGCTACTCACCAAAGTAGGATGTGAAGCAAGATTTTTATGTACGATGTTGTGCCAATTGAGTATGATGTTCCCCAAGACTACAGTCCTGAGTTGGCAGGCCCAGTGATTCTCTCTCTCAAGGTGTTTGGTTGTCTCTGAGAAGTTACTCCAACTCTGCCTTCTGTTGCTTCAGCGTGGAAAATATTTATTATTATTCCACTACACCACTGAATAAACTAAGGCTAAAGAAGTTAAGTGATTTGCCCTAAATTATACAACTAATAGTGGGGCAAATTAGGACCAGAAATTGAGCTCCCTATTTCCCCAGCCTTATTCATTGTCCAAGTCTCACATGCATATGTGGCTATTGAAAATGCCATGGCTTGGGTTAGAAGCATCTTAGTCTTCAGAGTGACATCTTTGCCCTTTAACACTTTAAAGAGGTCTTTTGCAGCAGATTTGCCAAATGCAACACTTTTGATTTCTTGGCTGCTGTTTCCATGGGTGTTGATTGTGGGTCCAAGTACAACGAAATCTTTTTGACAACTTCAATTTTATCTCCATTTATCATGATGCTGCTTACATGATGAGCTGAACAATGAATAAGGAAGACCACAGAAGAATCAATACATTTGAGTTGTGGTACAGGCAAAGAATATTGAACATACCATGGACTGCCAGAAGAACAAACAAATCTATCTTGGAAGAGGTATAGGTGGAATGCTCCTTAGAAGAGAGAATTTCCATACTGTGTCTTTCATACTTCAGTCATATTGTCAGGAGGGACTAGTCCCTAGAGAAGGATATCATGGTTGGTAAAGGGGAAGACCCTCAACTAGATGGATTGACACAATGGCTGCAACAATGGGCTCAAGCAGGATGAAGCTGGTGAGTCAAAACCAACTCAATGCTACCTAATAACAATTCTCCACCTAGGGCTTCTTAACTTAGCAGCCCCATTACATCTTCCAAAAAGGGTTGCCAAGTAGTAACTTTGCTTATACCACTCTTCTAAACATTTTTTAAAATTTAGATGAAGCAATGACCACACACACACACACACACACACACACTTTAGTACTGACCTTTTCAAATATTTAATTGATTATAGTGCTGAAAAGAAAGAATCCCAGCTGCCTTGCCATTCACAGTCCGGGAGATATGTGTGACCTCATTTACTTCCCACAGCTTAAGGTCACCTACACCTAGATGAAGAAATCTCCCAGATCTCTTATCTAATGTCAGGCCAGGCATCTCACTGTGTCCTGGACAACTCCACTTAGATGTTCCTCAGTCACCTCCAACTAAACATATCCAGAACTAAACTCACCCTCATGTCTATCTCTTCTTAATCTCAGGTAAGCTACCAGTTGCCTGAAGGTGGGAATCATGATTCTTTCCCCATTTTTGTCTTCCACAATCAGTTGCCAAAACCCATTGCCATGGACTCAGTTCCGACTCATAACAACCCTATGTGACAGAGCAGAATTGCCCCATAGGGTTTAGTTTCTGAGGCTGTAAATCTTCAAGGAAGCAGACTGTCTCATCTTTCTCTTGGAAAAGCAGCTAGTGGCTTCAAACTGCCGATCTTTTGATTAGCAGCAATGCTTTAACCACTATGCCACCAAAACTCTTCTTAACTCTATCACCTATATACGCTAAGATCGGTCCTCCTCTCGTCACTCCCACCACCCTGCCTGCTCCAGGACACCATCATCATCTTCCCCTACTATCTCAGCAGCATCCTCTCTCCTAACCCTGCAGCACCGGCCCAGAAGGCTATTTCTGATGCAGATTTCACCACCCTCCTCCCAAGTTGAAAACCTTTGTGCAATAGTACAAAATTCCACGTTCCTTAAACAAGTATATGACGTTGCTCATGACCTTGCCTGGCCCACTTGGCTCTCCAGCACCGGCCCTCTCAGTATCCCGCCTCTAGGGTCCCTCCCAGAACCAGACTGGCAGAGGGCGGATCCTGCAGGATCCAGAAGAACAGAGGGAGCCTGCAGAACCTGTCCCGGCGGTCTTGGGCTCTGCCAATCCCAAAGCGGGGCTGGATTCGTCTGAGGGCCGGGACCAATCCGGAAACGGGGGCGGGGATGAAGGGCCGGAACTCTAGGTTCAGCCCAGGGCCGGGGCTTTCAAGGCCTCACAGTTCTAGGTGCTGCCGCCGCTGCTGCGGACACTGCGACCAGGCGCAACACCCGAGGCAATGGACCCAGCTCTGGCCGCGCAGATAAGTGAGACGGTGGCTGAGAAGTTGCTACTCTACAGGCGAGACACGACAGGCTGGAAGATTTGCCGGGAAGACGTGAGTGAGGAGCTGGGAGGGATGGGGTCAGGGTGGCCTTTGCGTGCGGGGGGGGGGTACAGGAAGCCCCGATGCACCTCTAGGCTACTCCTCTCCCCTCTTTTTCTATGAACTCTTATCTCGCGGCGCTGGATTGAGGAGGGCAATCCATTCGGGGCTGCTTCTTTAATAAATATTGTGCCTACTGTGTTTACAGTGACCCCAAGAGGTAAGTAGCAGATCCTTTCGTTGAGTGACCAGCCCAAGGTCACTTGGCTGGTAAATCGTAGTTAGATTTGATACCCAAAACACCAGGCTTCAAAGCCGTTACTCTGTTCATTATTGCCCAAGACCCTCTCTTCATTGTCTCCAAAAGGTGGCATGGGGATCGTTTTGCTTACTTGACACTGCCTGGTTTTTAAAAAATAGCCCTAAATTTACTCAGGGAAACAAAATGCTTGGCACCTATTAAGGTGGTTTAGAAACCACCCGTAGCTCTGAAATAGCTCTTGGAGTCAACTAATGAAGAGTTCTTTCTCCATCACGTTTTGCAGTAGGAGGCAGCTAGTACAGAACTAGTCTTGGCTAAGTGACCTTGGACAATTGCATTTCTCAGACTCCTCTTCTGTGAAAGGGGGTTGATTCTGAACCCTTCTAGCTCTAAAATTATATGATTCTGTGCCTTTTGACAGAATGGAGTTTCAGTTTCCTGGAGGCCATCTGTGGAGTTTCCAGGGAACCTGTAAGTGCATGCCTTATTTAAAGTTTGTCAGCACTGCCGCACCCTTCCTGATATCTCCACTTGTCTGCTTCCTGAAAGGTTCTAATCAGTCCTACCACATTGGGGTCAATTTTCCAGAAAACCATTACCTTCTGTTTTTAAATCATTTTCAGCAAACCATAGATTCTTATGAAAGCTTACTGTCCATTTCTGCAGGCCTACAGGGAGATGGGATAGTAAATTTCAGCCATGTCTCTACAAAGCTGTTTTAAAGACAAATGGCAAACGTGGCATGGTCCATCCTCCAGTTCTTATAAAACCAAACTGGTTATCATGGTTTCATTGTGGCAACCTCATGTATGTCGGAGTAGAACTATGCTCCATTGGGTTTTTAGTGACTCTTTTTCAGAAGTAAATCAGGCATTTTTTCTGAGGTACCCTTAGGTGAACATGAATCTCTAACCTTTTGTTCAGCAGCCAGCATGTTAATCATTTGCACCACCCAAGGATTCCTAGGGACTCTCTAGTCCTTATATGTAATCCCAAATAAACAAGTTTGACTCATGGCTTAGGGTCAGATTCCTTTTTGTCCTCTAGGTACCGAGGAGAAGGCATTGTGTGTGGGTCCCCAGAGAAGGTGTGGGACTGCGTGAAGCCAGTTACTGGGGGCCTACGAGAGAAATGGGATGAGAATGTGAGCCATTTTGAAATTATCGAAAACATCACTGATGTAAGTCTTCCCAAGCCTCTTATCCCAAAGATAGTATTTGGGCCCTGCTATAGTATCAAACCCACCAGCCACTCCTCGGAAGGAAGGTTGGGCAATCCTACTTCCATAGTGATACTGCCTTGGAAACCCAAGGAGGGGTCGCTATGAGTCGGGGCCGACTCGACAGCAAACAACAACAACAGTAATCTGGTCCTGTCTTCCATTGAGGGGATCTGGGACACCTTTTGATGAAAGGGACTGCCAAGTAGACTCCTGATACCCAGGAAGCACAGGCAGCCCTCTCTTCTTGCAATATGCAGCTCAAGTATGAGTAGGAAGTAGTATGTTCCAGAGACTCAAAGAAACCCTAAACGGAGCCAAGAGAATATGGCAGTAGCTGATAAACATGGGTAAGCAGTCTATATGTGGGCTCTGAGGTTACAGCAGGTGGTGTCTGGATTTGACCCATCAGTACTAGTTTGATAAGTTGCTCTTTGATGGGGACATGGTAATGAATTAAGAGAGCCCTGGCCAAGGAGTCAGTATCCTTTGCCAGCTGCAGAATCATGCCAAATGATGGCTTCTAGATTAGTTTCCTCACTTACAAAATGTGTTTTTAGCAGTAATCAGGAGTAAGGGGGTATGGTTATTTTAAAAAAAAAAAAAAAATCACTTCTGCCAAACCCTCTAAAAAATATCAGAACTCAGAAAAGGTGAATTATTTTGTTTCTAATGCCACACTTGTGCCTTTAATAGGAATATACTTAAGAAAGGGGAAGACATGAAATTCTGACACCAGTGTGGAGTGCCTTGATTACATATTGAAAACATTCCTAATTGTCCGTCTGGCACCTTATGGATGTTTACACCCCAGGACAATGCATATTAAGATGATTCCAGATGGGTGGGGGGCATTCGTGATTTTTCCAGTGGGAGGACAAGTGGGAAGGGAGACCCCACATGAACTTACAATCTGCTCTTAGTCATTTTAGTGACAAGGAAACATGGAGGTTGGCTCATCTGAAAACAGTCCCACACCCCCCACTGGAAAGTACTTATGTACCCTCAGGGATTGCATGACCTTGAAGACTAAAGAGTATAGATAATAGATACCTATACCAAAAGTTTCTCAGCATTCCATGGTGCCCCAAATCTTAATAAAAATCAAAATCTTAATAAAAAGTAAGAGACCTTTTCCAAACCCTTCTCACCCCTAGACTTCTTCCTCAAACCTGACCTCTACTTTTCAATATGACCTTGAGACAGCTAGGTTGTAGTGGAGGAGGGGATAGTAGGATAAATACAGGGTAGGTGTGAGGTGTCCTTAGTTTAGAAAGTTGGAGACTGGATGGATGAGATATTTTGAAACTGGATGAGGTTCAAGAGTTGCTTCCCCCTAGGGCCAGAACTAGGGTGAAAGCAGACAGTCACATATGGTACAACTTTTAAGTAGGCCTTACTTTCAGGGTTGTACAAGTATAAGATTGACCTTAAAAAGGTACACCTCCTTAAGTATTGAGCCCTAGTGTCTTTCTTAGGAGCTCTGGTGGCGTTGTGCCTAAGGCATTTGACTGGTAACCAGAAGGCTGGTGGTTCAAACCCACTAGCCACTCCTCGGAAGGAAGGTTGGGCAATCTACTTCCATAGAGATACCACCTCGGAAACCCAAGGAGGGGTTGCTGTGAGTAGGATCTGACTAGACGGCAGTGCGTTAGTGCTTTTCTTGCCTTACTCTAATCCTGACCCTCTTCAGATTCTATTTCCACCATGAAGTTGTGGGTAAGTTACTTAACCTCTCCAAGTCTCAGTTTCCTTACCTGTTGAATGGGTTAATAATACCCATTTCTCAGAGTTGTGAGGGACAAAAGAGAGCTTTGGCCTCGCCAGGCTCTTAGTACCAAAAAAAGCCAAACCCACTGCCATTGAGTCAATTCCGTCTCACACTAGGTGCTCTATAAATGGCAACTTGCATGGTCCCTCTTGGGACATAACCTCAGAGTGTCTACATGGTTATAAGCAACCAATGTCAGTCCTAGATTTTACAAATGGGTTATATTTCAGTGAGATTCGATTCTTTTAAGGGGGCCACCTAATCCTTGACCCTCCACTTCATAGTGCCAACCTGCTGTTAGTACTGTTCCTGCTTTCCAGACCCTGGGGTAAGGGAACAGGTTGATGAGCCCAGAGGTGGGGTGAGGGTGGGGAGAAGATGTCTGGCCATCAGATGTAACTGGACTCCCTTTTGCTTTGGCAGACACTGTGCGTAAGCAGAACCTCCACCCCCTCAGCCGTCATGAAGATCATTTCGCCCCGAGATTTTGTGGACTTGGTGCTCGTCAGAAAATATGAGGATGGGACCATCAGTGCCAATGGTGAGCAATGGCTGGGGTGCTGCCTAGGCCTTTATGTGACCCTTGGATCTTTCTCTTCTGCACCCCCACAGTTAAGCGGACCAGATGGAAGTCACCAGAGAACTCACTCCTTGGATCCTTTATCTGTTTTGCTTGCATTGTGGAGCTTGAGGGGATTATGTGGCATGGAAGTCTGAGCTGGAAGAGTTACCACACCAGTAACTTCATTTTTAAGTCCCAGATTTTATATGTCCCTTTTTAAAATTCCTGCCGAGGCTCATAGTTAGCACCTACAAGTTCAAGTTTGGTTTCACATAAGCTCAGTGTGCAGTGAATTTGCAAACCTGTGGGAGTGCCACCTGAGAGTGCTGTGATGCTTGTCCATTCCCTTTCTAGAGAGGAGCAAAGTTCCTGCTATTATAGTACCTCCTCCGGAAAGCTACTGCCACTGCCACTGTCTCTGAATCTCCATGTGGGCCTAGATGCCTCTGTTGGCTGTGATTTGAGTGAGGGTGTCTTCTTCCTCCCACTCCCAAGCCTTTTATTTCTTTGCTCTAATATTCTGTCAGGCTTGAGGAAGCCAGGGGTATGAGAGTGTACATAAATGTATATGAGTGAGTGTGTGTGCATGTGGATGAGTATGTGTAACTGTGTGTATAAATTTGTATGTGTTTGTGTGTGAATGTGTATGAAAAAATGTGTGTGCCCATGAGTGTGTATGAATGAGTATACGTGAGTCTGCATGAGTATGTATTGGAAGAGTGTGTATGCATGTGTGTGAGTGAACGTGTGTGCATGTGAGTGTATGAGTATCTGAATGTGTATATGAATTTGTGTGCATGTGTTTACATGAATGTGTATGAGTGAGTTTGTGTGCATGTGAATGGTATGAGTGTGTGTGCCTGTGTGCAGATGTGTTGAGTTAGTGTGTGTATGAGTTTATGTACATTTATGTGAGTGAATAGGTAAGTATATACATGTAAGTGTATATGAGCATGTGAGTGAATGTGTGAGTGTATGTGAATGAGTTTTTGTGCATGTGAGTGTACATGAGTGTGTCTTTGTGCATGTGTGTGTGAGTGTAAATGTGTGTATGTATATAGTTGTAAGGGGCACTGGGGAGAGTATAGGAGGGAACTCAGGGCCAAGTAATAGTCCCCTTGCTGACTCACCTGGCCCTGAGTGGTTGGGTATGCCTGCACTATGGGTGCCCAACAAAGACAGTTCAGTGGCAGTGGCCCAGCTTCTGATGTTCTAGTTCACTGACCATCTGCTCTATCTTTCAGCTACCAATGTTGAACATCCATTATGTCCTCCAAAGCCAGGTTATGTGAGAGGATTTAACTATCCTTGTGGCTCCTTCTGTGAACCTGTGCCAGGGTAAGAATAATATCATGAATCGAATTGCATTCTCCAAGCCTAACTGTGGCCGTTCCATTAAAAATGGGTACATTGATTAGAACTTGTAATAGTAAAGTGCTCAACAACTCTTTAGACTTTGATGTTACAAAACACTATGACATATAGTGATGTCAGTGACATAATATGTGATATGTAAAAAACACATAGCCATTGAGTCCATTTCTACTCCTCACAACCCCTGAACTGATACCATAGTGATACCACCTCAGAAACCCAAGGAGGGGTCACTGTGAGTCGGGTCCGAGTCAATGGCACATAACAACAACACCACCAGCAACCCTATAGGACAAGGTAGAACTGCCCCATAGGGTTTTTTAGGCTTAAATCTTTACAGAAGCAGATGCCATTATCTTCCTCCCAAAGAGTGGCTGTGGTATTTGAATCACTGACCTTTCAGTTAGCAGCAGGGTGCTTAACCACTGTACCACCAGGGCTTCTAATATGTGACAGTACCCAGCAAATGGGAAACAACTGTGGGGAGGCATTATTCTTGTTATTTTTGATTTGGGGAATCCTGTCTCCAGCTGCATGAATCAGGATGGGCAAGTATCATGGTCTCATTGAGTAGATGAGGAAACAGAGGGTCAGTGAGGTTAAGTGCTCTCTGTCTTGGGTCAAAGGCTGGGAGGTTGGCAGAGCAGGACCTGTGTCCCAGGTATTTCCTTGGGTGCTCTTTGAGCATGATGCACCAGCCTGGAGCAGCTGAGAAGATAGCTATCCCCACCTCACATTCCAGCTAGTCATCGTAATCCCAGGCAAGGAATGGGACAAAGTGCCCAGGCCCTGAAGAGCGACTCAGAAACCAACTTAGTGAGTTGGTGGCATAACTGAATGTGGGAACTGTTCAGTTCCATTTTCTTACAATTGTGGCCAGGTTTCAGGTTTTTGCCAGGAAATTTTTGTGCAGTTTAGGTCACTGGTGGATCCTGGAAGCCATCCAGGCTGATAATGAAAGAAATTGCACCTCAGGTTGTGTCCCAGTGTAACCTTGCAAACCTTGTGCATACACTGGGTTGGGGAAGAGTCTGTGCTCTCAGCACACAATCCCAGGAGAGGGGCCTTGGTGCTATAATATTTTACTAAACACCCAAACCCAGCACCTCTGTATAACACTCTTTGCTAATCTAGCTTTTTAAGCATCTCTTAAAAGATTGTTTTTAAACACAGCAAAATTAAGGGTTTGAATATACCACAGTAGGCTCCAACACATGCACACACACACACACACTTGTGCACTCAGTTTTGGCCCTTCAAATACAGAGATGCCCCAGATCCAATGACTTGGGCTCATGATACTGACCTCTGCTGCCTCATTCTCTTATCTTCCTTCTTGGAAGAACCAGGTGTTGGGACCCTCCTTTTGATGTTGTCAGGTCTGATTGAAAGTGAGTTTCAGAATAAGAGGCAGAGCCCTTTGTTTTTTGAGGTTGATTTCTACAGCTGTCTTTTTTGGGGGGAATGAATGCACAATGTGATTAGACCATCACATCTCATGCCAGGTCGCAAAGATGATTGCATGGGTTTTGCAGATAGAGTGATTGGGGTCAGGAAGGTTCCACCAAACCCAGCTAGTGTGGATGTCTTGACTCAAGGCTTGATTTTCCACCTCTTGTTGGCTTGATGGAAAGCACTTTATGCTGCTTGGGAAGCATGCTGAAGTCTGCCACATGCAGAGCTCTTGTAAGACTGTGGGTCTGAAACTTTTGGTAATAATTATTCCCTTATCATTCTATATCATTAAATATAAGCTTATTCTAGGCACTGTGGAACAACAGCAACAGCAAACACTTACAAAGCACTTCTGTATGTCAGTAAGGAGCTCTGGTGGCATAGTGGTTAAAACATTTGACTGCTAACCAAAAGGTTGTTGGTTCGAAGCCACCAGCTGCTGCTCCATGGGAGAGAGATGAGGCAGTCTGTTTCTGTATGGATAAACAGCCTCAGAAATCCTATGGGGCAGTTCTGCTCTGTCCTATAGGGTCACTATGAGTCAGAATCAACTCAGTGGCAGTGAGTTGGTTTGATACATCAAACAGTACTCTGAGCACTTTACATAAAGGTATTCATTTTTGTTCTTTCAGTAATCCTAATGTGCTATTACTATTCCCATCTTTTAGACAGGGAAACTGGGGCACAGAGACGTTAAAAAAACCCAGGAAGTAATTGAGCCAGAATTTAAACCAGGCATCTGTCTCCAGAATCTATGTTCCTAATCCATAAATTGACCTTTCAAAATGGATTAATTCCTCTTGGAATTTAGATTCCAATGGGGACAGTGGGAGACAGACAAAAAACAAACACACAAATAATATCAGATGTGCACACTTGGAATTATCAGATATTGGTAAGTGTTTTGGAGAAAACTAAATCCAGAAGCAGATGCCAGGGAAAAGTGGGAGTAGGCCATATAGGAGTCAGCAAAGGCCTCGCTCATAGATGGCATTTGAGAACAGTGCTAATAAAAGGGCCATGGCTTACCTGAGGGAGTGTTTGCAGCAGAGGGCTATGCAGGTCCAAATGCCCTGAGGTGGGAGCAGGTGTGGGGCATTTAGGAACCAGCTCAGAGGCTGCTGTGGCTGAAACAGTGAACAAGTGGAGAGGGTAGGAGTTGTGTTCAGAATGGCAGCAAGGGCCAGACCCGGTAGCATCTTAGGGCCGTCATGCAGACTTGGGCACCTTTCTCTCAATAAAACAGGAAGCCTTTGGAGTTTTGAACCAGTGGGATCTGCTCTGACTTGAGTTTTAACTGGACCACATTGGCTGCTGTGGTGAATCTAGAATATAAAGGGACCATGATCAAGACCAAGAAGATGTATTAGGAGATGTAGCAGTAGTCTGAGAACTCTGGTGGTATAGTGCCTAAGGCATTTGACTGCTAACTGGAAGGCTAGTGGTTCAAACCTACCAGCTACTCCTCGGAAGGAAGACTGGGCAATCTACTTCCATAGAGATGCTGCCTTGGAAACCCAAGGAGGGGTTGCTATGAGTCAGAATTGACTCGATGGCAGTGAGTTTGGTTTTTGGTTTTGGTTTAGCAGTAGTGTAGGTGAGAGATGGTGATGGTGACAGCTCAGAGTGGCAGCTGTGAAGGAGGGACAAGGTGTTGGATTCTGGGTGGTTATCAAAGTAGAGGAGTCTATTTATAGTGGATGCATTCCTGGCAATCTGTTTTCATATAGATTATAGCCAAGAAAACCCATATAGCAGTTCTACTCTGTAACAATGTAAATGGTGGTTATACACATGGACTTCACCAGATGGAATACACAGGAATCAGATCGACTACATCTGTGGAAAGAAGCAGTGGAGAAGCTCAATATCTTCAGCCAAAACAAGGACAAGAGCTGACTGTGGAACAGACCGTCACCTGCTCATATGCAAGGTCAAATTGAGGCAATTAAAACAAGTCCATGAGAGCCAAAATATGACCTTGATTATATCCCACCTAAATTTAGAGACCATGTGAAGAACAGATTTGATGCATTGAATATTCGTGACTAAAAACCAGATGAATTATGAAATGACATCAAGAACATCATCCATGAAGAAAGCAAAAGGTATTAAAAAGACAGGAAAGGAAGAAAAGACCAAAATGAATGTAAGAAGAGACTTTGAAACTTGCTTGTTCCAGTTACCTAGTGCCGCTCTGACAAGAATATACCACAAATGGGATGGCCTTAACAAACAAGAGTTTATTCTTAGAATTTGGAGGTTTTAAGTCCAGTTCAAAGTGCCAGGCTCTAGGGGCTGGGTGAAAGCCCCTCAACCTTGGGATCCAGCTCTTCCTCCTGCTCCCAACCCACTGGAGCTAAAGGCGTTTCTTCACTCAGACAGTGCTGGCTGCTGAGGCTGAGAAGCCTCAAGGTTGACAAGTAAAAAGGCACAGTCCCGATGTTGCCAAACCACACAGCAGGCCATTAACTTGGGTCCATTTTAAGTCCCGAGGTCGACAGAGCATAGCAGCCTGCTGAGCAATGACACAGCTACATGCAGGGTCCAAGCATGCCATAGGCTAGAGACCATTCCCAAGGCTTCTCCTTATATACAGGAAGCAGACCACATCCCAAAGGCAGCTACTCAGCTGCTTGTTGTAGATCCCACCATGGAGTTGATTGCCAGTCTCATCATGGGGAATAACTACCACCAGCTGGCCAGCCACTCAACCAGGCCTAGCCAAGTTGACGCACAAACATAACTACCACATTGCTCTTGACTGGAGAGTGGCTAAAGCAAAATGGAAGAAATGACAAGATAACAGAGCTGAACAGAAGATTTCAACAAACAGTTCAAGAAGACAAAATCGATTATAATGAAATGTGCAAAGACCTAGGGTTAGAAAACCAAAAGGGAAGAACACACTCAGCATTTCTGATGCTGGAAGAACTGAAGAAAGAAAAAAAAAATTCAAGCCTTGAATTGCAGTATTGAAAGAGTCTATGGGCAAAATATTAAATGATACAGGAAATATCAGAAGAAGATGGAAAGAATACACAGAGTCACTGTACCAAAAAGCATTGGTTGATGGTCATGTATTTCAGGAGGTGGCATATGATCAAGAACCAATAGTATTGAAGGAAGAAGTTGAAGCAGCACTGAAGGAACTGGCAAAAAACAAGGCTCCAGGAATTGATGAAATACCCATGAAGATATATCAACAAATGGATGTCATACTGGAGACACTCATCTATGCCAGGAAATTTGGAAGACAGCTACCTGGCCAACTGACTGGAAGACATCTATATTTGCGCCTATTCCAAGGAAAGATGATCCAACAGAATGTGGAAATTATTGAACAATATCATTAATAAAGTAAGAATCTTACTGAAGATTTAAGAAATGGTTGCAGCAGTATATTAACCAGGAACTTTCAGAAGTGCAAGCTGGATTCAAAAGAGGACATGGAACAAGGGACACCACTGCTGATGTCAGATGGATCTTGGCTGAAAGCAAAGAATACCAGAAAGATGTTTACTTGTGTTTTATTGACTGTGTAAGAGCATTTGACTGTGTGGATCATAACAAATTGTGGATAGCATTGAGAAGAATGGGAATTCCAGAACACTTAATTGTGCTCATGAGAAAACTGTACATAGACCAGAAGGCCATGATTTGAACAGAAGAAAGGGATACTGCATGTTTTAAAATCAGGAACGGAGTGTATCAGGGTTGTATCCTTTTACTGAATTCATTCAATCTGTATGCTGAACAAATAATCCAAGAAGCTGGACTATATATAGGAAGAAGAACATGGCATCAGGATTGGAGGAAGATTCATTAACAACCTGTGATATGCAGATGACACAACCTTGCTGAAAGTGAAGATGACTTGAAGCACTTATGATGAAGATTAAAGACTACAGTCTGCAGTATGGATTACACCTCAACATAAAGAAAACGAAGATCCATCACAATAAATGGAGAAAAGATTGAAGTTGTCAGAGATTTCACATTACTTGGCTTCACAATCAACACCAATGGAAGTAGTAGTCAATAAATCAGACGACTTATTGCACTGGGCAAATCTGCTGCAAAAGACCTCTGTAAAGTGCTGAAGAGCAAAGATGTCTCTTTGAAGACTAAGTTGCATCCAGCCCAAGCTGTGGTTTTCAGTTGCCTTATGTGCATGTGAATGCTGGCCAATGAATTAGGAAGACTGAAGAAGAGTTGATGCTTTTGAGTTATGATGTTATGTTGCTGATGAATACTGAATGTATTGTCCTAGAAGAAAAAAACAATCTATAATAGAAGAAGTGCAGCCAAATGCTCCTTGGAAGCAAGAATGACCAGACTTCATCTCACCTGCTTTGGTCATGTTGTCAGAAGGGACCATTCCCTGGAGAAGGATATTATGCTTGGTGAAGTGGAGGGTAAGTGAAAAATGAGAAGGCCCTAAATGAGATAGATTGACACAGTGGCTGCAACAGTGGGCTTAAGTACAGCAAGGATTGTGGGGCTGGCACAGGACCAGGCACTGTTTCATTGTGTTGTATGTAGGGTTGCTATGAGTCAGAGCTGACTCAATGGCACCTAACAACAACAACAAGACTCTGTAACACATGGGGTCTCCGTGAGTTAGAATCAGTTTGATAGCAAGGGGTTTTGTTGTTGGTGCTGTGTGCCCAGGAAGTTTGCTAAGTGCTTTACGCTTTTAATCTTAATTAATCCTTATAAGAAACTGGTAATGGGTGTCATTATCCCAGCCTTCTCTATGAAGAGACAAGGTGACTTACAACACCTCTCTGAGCCTCTTTTTTTTCTCATTCTGTTAATGTCCCATAATGGGGTGCACACAATAGCCATCATTTACTGGGGCCACTTTGTAATGTGTTGATTTTGCCTCTTCCCATACATGTGCAGAGAGTTTTAGCTCAGTGGTGCCCAATCATGACAGTGCATAAGTCATTGGATTCAGAATCCTGGGAGAGGGTAAGAAGGGCTTTAGGGACAGATATTGTTAAAAATACAGATTTCTAGGCATTCACTCCAGATACATTGATTCAGTAGGGCTGGTAGTGCCCCAAGAACTGGTATTTTTAACTCACATCTACCCAGGTAGCTCTGATGAAGTCACTCGAGCAACATTCAGAAACTGTTTATCCCAAAAGTATGTTTTGCCAACACATACCTGTTTGAAGGTGTTAGGACTACAGTTTCAAGTCAAGCAATTCTACAGTCATCTATGGATCCCCGCTTTGGGTAAAACACAGTGCTAGTCCTGAGAGGTATCAGTGAACTTGGCCTGAACATGCTTTGTGGAGTTCCTGATCATGCTCTTCTGAGCAGGTGATTAGGAAGGGTCATGATGCTAATGAGTGATGGAAGACATATGTAGTAAATGAAATATATAAAAGACCATGGGAGCCTCTGGGTGCAAATAGTTATTGCACTTGGCTGCTACCTGAATGGTTTGAAATTTGAGACCACCCAGAAGCACCTCAGAAGAAAGTCTTGACAATCGACTTCCAAAGAATCAGCCATTAAAAACCCGATGGAGCACAGTTCCATAAGTTGGAATTGACTCAACGGCAACTGGTTTACAGGAGTCCAAAGAACCATGGATTTCCGTCTAATACCTGCCATAAGGATTGAGAGGCTCGTTTTATTTAATTGAATTTTGAAAGAAGGGCAGGATTTCAATAGGTAGGTATAAAAGGAAATAGCATTCAAAGCAGAAAGAAGAGCAACAGCCAAGGCAACAACAAAGAAATAGAGTGTGAACCTTGAACTCATTGGAGGTGGGAGTGGAAGGAAGGTTGGTGCCAGATTAAGGAGGAGGGCCATAAATGCTGTACGGGAGAATCTACTGACTGTGTAGACTATAGGTAATCATTCTTAGTTTCTGTGCAGGTGATTAGCAAGACATGAGCTTAGAAGGTTCATCTTGTAGCAGTGAGCAGGAAGGATTGGTGCGGCATGAGACAGGAGGTAAATGGTCCACTTAGGACATTACTATTGAAGATATGGGTGAGAGGTGATGAGGACTTGGCCTGGTCCAGTGAGAGGGTGAGAAGAGAGAAGAGTGAAGGTCCCAGCAAAGGTGGAATGGATGGACATTAGTGAGCAAGGTGGAAGGTGGATTCTGAAAGATGCTGGGGCTTTGAGGTTTGAGAAAGTCCCTGCCCTCGAGGCTTCATGCTCCATAGTGAGACAAATCACAAGCAGAGGAAAAAAGCCACCACCAGGATAGACTTGCCATCCTGCAATATTGTTCATCCACTGGCCCCTGTCCCTGGGCTTCAGCTGCCCTATCTAAACAACTGAAGATGGGAAGTTTCCTTCAATAGTCTCAGTTTCAACCCCTTGACCTGCCTGATCTCAGGAAACATGTGGTGGGCAGATGCAGTGCTATGTGGGGTTCCTTATAAGGCTCTTAAGCTATTGGTGGCTCCATTCAACTAAAAAGCCAGATGGAGGAATCCTAGGGCAGTACAAATGATTAAGGACTCAACTACTAGCTAAAAGTTTGGTAGTTTGAACCCACCAAGAGGCACCTGAGAAAATAGACCTGGCAGTCTGCTTCAGAAAAGTTATAGCCTTTAAAACCCTGTGATACATTTCTACTGCGTACACATAGGATCACCATGAGTTGCACTCAACTTGATGGCAGAAAATAAACAATAAAATGCCACACGATCTCCACAAAGTCTGTTCCTTTGTTGCCCTGACCATTGAGAAGTTTGCAAGAGTGAACATTACCCCTGCATGTCCCTACCAAGTTGTGCCCCACCTCTTCCTCACTTAATCTGATTCTGGCTGACGAGCTTCACTGCCTCCATCGCCCAAACTATGACATCATCATGAGTGCAGTCCAGGGAAGTCAGCAGACCTCATCAAAGCTGCACCACAAGTTGGTGGCAGAGCTGGCTCTAGAACACTGGCCTTGGATCTGTGCCATGTGCCATAACACTAGCCTTGGATCTGTGCCATGTACCATATCCATACCTCCCTGTCGGCTCCTGCTGCCAGCTGGCCAAAGTTCCTTCATACTTGTTTAAGTTACGGTGTCAATTCTCTTGATCAGTAGTTCTCAAATTTTTGGTCTCAAGGCTCCATAACACTCTTCAGTATCACTGAGGGCTTCAAAGGGCTTCTGTTTATGTGGGTTATATCTATCAATATGTACCATATTCAAAATTAAAGATATAAAATGTGTCATTTATTTTAAAATAACAATAAATGGATGCCATGTAATATAAATAACATATTTTTATGGAAAATAACTAAATTTTAAAAAATAATTGTGAGGAGCAGTATTTTATTTATTTATTTATTTTTACGTTCTTGCAAATCTCATTAACATCAGGGTCATGTAAGCTCATATCTGCTTTTATATTTTTTGTTGTTGTTGTGTGCCATCGAGTCGGACCTGACTCATAGTGACCCCTCCTTGGGTTTCCAAGGCAGTTATCACTATGGAAGTAGATGGCCCCATCTTCCTTCTGAGGAGTAGCTGGTGGGTTTGAACCACCAGCCTTCTGGTTAGCAGTCAAATGCATTAGGCACGAAATCACATATCAGGTAACCTCTAGAAAATGTCATTGTACACTTGTGAGAGAATGCAACTGAAAAAGGCAAAATCTATCATAGTGTTGTTACAAAAATGGTTTTGAACTTGATGATGCCTTGAAAGAGTCTCAGGAACCCCCAGACATCCTCAGACCATGTTGAGAACTGCCATTCTATGTGGATGGAGGGTAGCATCTGTGTCTGTTCCTCCCAGGACCTGGCACATAGTAAGTTCTCCAACAGCATTTACTGAATGGATCAGGAATAGAGTCAGGCTGAAAGTAGGGACTGCTCCCTCTGAGGGCCTGTGGGGCCATGCAATGCATCCACAAGAGGACAGGTGATATGTTTCCAACCACAAAATAAGCAGATGCAGAGGGGATCCCCAGGTGGTGAATTAGGGCTCCATTACGGAGTAGACAGGCTCTGTATGTGTGGACATCTCTACCAGCTGAACTCCCCTGATGCTTGCAGACACATAACACAGCTATGCTTTTGCTTTCACAGGGAGCCTAACAAGACCCACATGGTCACATTCTTCCACACCGACCTGAGTGGTTACCTCCCACAGACCGTGGTGGACTCCTTCTTCCCCCGCAGCATGGCTAGGTTTTATGTCAACCTTCAGAAAGCAGTGGAGAAATTCTAACACTGACACTGTCACTTGTTGGCAAAGAACTTATCCACCTGATGGAGGAGCTCCAACTGTGGGACACCTGAGAGCCTGGGAGAACTTGAGGGTCTCTTTTTTTCTTTGGAACGTGAAATAGGATATTCTCTGAGAACGCCAACCCAACCCTTTCTGCTTCCTCTTTCCAGTCAGAAGTTGCATGGGATGTGCCATCCATGTGCTCTGCACTCTATTTGCCAGTTACCCAAGTAAGTTCCTTGCGCAGGGTGGACTCAGGCCTCTGGCCTCCTGGCTGGGACTCTGCCCAGGCTCCATGTGATGCACTCTGATCTAAAGACTTTATCAGCCAATGACTAACAGAGACGTATTTCCCTGCTTGTTAAAAAGAACCGTCATCAATATTGGAAACCAGGCCCTGCTGCCTTTGTACCATCTAGAGCTTTCTGAGACCTATGCCACAGACCCTGGTGAATACTTTTCTAACACTGTGCAACATTTTTTCCCCTTAAAAAGATGTCAACTTGGAAAATGATGGCTTACAAAATGGGATAAGCATTAAGGAAAGATACTGTCTGTAGTCCCTTTGCTATGTCTTCCATTCAAATTAGTTGTTTTTCCTTTTTTTTTCCCTCTTGGAATTAACTCTCATGCCCCCTGGAAAACTAGGCAGTTTGAATCTGTGCCAGGTCAAATCTGTAGCCTTAGGAGTGAGTTCTCTGGAAGTGATTCTGAACTGAGCAAGCTGCTAATCTCTGTATATGGAAATCTGTAGAGAACAGCCTTCTTTCCCTTAGCATTTGCCCTTCCTAGTCCTCTGCTATGAAGACCAAGGCAGGAGTCCAGTGGCCTCCAAACCCTGGTCAGACCACATGTCTGTCAACAGGAAGGATGGAAGAGCAGGCCTCCTTCCAAAAGGGCTGGCTGCAATTCCCCCACTAGGCATTGCTGCAAACTTCATTAACTCCACTGGGGCCATGCCCACCCCATACATCATCAGAACGAGGAAATACATCCTAGCCACCAGGAAGAGGTCTGTCTCAGCAGCCATGTGACTCCATTTCCTTCTCTGCAATCAGGGCCATGCCATTCAGTGAGCGATTCTCTAGTGTCCCCTAGTAACCTCATCTGGAATCCCACCACCTTTCTTGTAAAGAAGATCCCTCATATCTAACCAGAGTCCCTTTAGGTTGAATTACTCAAGTTATCATTACCTGTGCAGAAAATTTCCAGAGTTCTCAGTCTTTGCTTCTCTGGATGCAAAGCATTTTCCTTATGTCATTGAGTTACTTCCCAACACTTGAGTTCTCAGGTGACTATCTCTTGAATGTGGCAACATACAGGACCTGAGCAAGAACTCTCAAAACATGAGGGCTATGTCAAGAGGGTAGAAAACTCTTTCTGTATTCTAATGAAACTACAGGTCCCATTGGCATGCCATTAAGATCATCCAACACAATAAATACTTTTTTTAAAAAACGATCATCCAGCCAACTTCCTTTACTTATCAACAAATCTTTACTGGACTTGAATTTGGTTAGCTTTCATTCATCCGTTCTTTCAATATGTATTTAACAAGTCTTGATTCTGTGCCAGGGGAGTCCCTGGATGGTGCAAATGGCTAATGCACTTAACTGCTAACCAAAAGATGAGAGGTTTGAGTCTATCCGGTGGTGCCAGAAGAAAGACCTGGCATTCAACTTCTGAAAATTCAGCTACTAAAAACCTTATGGAGCAGAGTTCTACTCTGGGATCACCATGAATCATGAGTTGTTTTCTGAATTTGGCCAATTCTGGCTGCACCAGCCAAGGAGAAGTACTTTTTTTCCTGCCCCTCTGAGGTTCAGACCCTGGAAGGTCATGGTCTTACCAAGATGGAGCCCCTTTTTCCAGCCGTGTCTAGCTAGATGAAAGGCCAGCCTCCCAAGGGCATATCTCATGGGGCCCTCTAGATGTATTGTGCCTGTGTTTGTTGGCATCAGATTAAATTGACTTGAGCACTGGAGTAGAAGCCATACATCTGGTTTAAACCCTGCAACTTAGAAATTGTATCCTTAGGCCAGTCACTTAACGTGTCTGTGCTTTGACTTACTGTCTTTAAAAAAAAAAAAAAAAAAACATGGACTTAAAGAAGGTCACAGGGAGGAAGTGAGAAGAGAGCTGTTAAATTGTGGGGATTGCAATCAATGTCATGAAACAATATGTATGAACTGTTGTCTGGAAAATTAATTTGCTCTGTAAACTCACCCAACTCACAATAAAATTTAAAAAAGAATATATGGGGATTGGAATACAAATCTTGATACAGTTTGCTGCTTGAGAGTACGTGCCAATGTATGAATCAGTAAAATGCTTTGCAAAGCCAAGAACTAGGGCTGCCCAGGAAAGGCCCTGAGGTGAATTCATTTTCATGAATAGTGAGAGTAGATTGGCAACTGTTAGCTGTGATTTTTTGCAATCTTTGAGGTTGGAAGAAGTTGGCTGAGGAAAACTAAATTTCAAATCTAAATTCCAGTTTCTTGAAGTGGATTAGTTTATTTCAGGACCCTCTTACTGACTCCTGACTTGAAGATCCCCCTGGCCTTGAGAACAGGAATATGGGCAGTAGTAGTGGCCTCATTGGTCTGGGGGAAGAGGGGACCTTCTAAAACAGACCAGAGATATAGGAAGAGGTACTGGGAGGACCATGGACAAAGTCATTTGTACCCTAGTCCTCAGACAACCTCTGCCCCACCCACATACTTGATTTGCCTGGTCTTCTAAAGTCTTTCTCCATGTCCCAGGCCCCTGGCCAGCTCTCTGCTCATCCATTTCATCACCTTCCAGTCTTGATAGAAAGCCACTGTCTTCCCTGGGCTGGTCTAGATTCATCACTTGGCTGCTTAATAAGACTCAAAATAATTTCCCCATTATAGGAAATGTCACTGTGTGCACAGATGGTGACATTCTGGAGGACAAGGAGTGTGCCTTCTGTATCATCATATCCTCATTGCCAAGTCATGGACAGGCACACAGTGAGGTCCTGGGGGTGGGTGTTGAGTTGAGACTGGCTGAATTGAGATCCTCAGGGATGGGTGTTATATTGTTAGACTGTGTCCATTTTTTGGTGTTTCTATTAAATCTGACACACCTGGGGTCTCGAAGTTCTTATCCACAGCAACTGGTTGGCAAAGTTTAGAATGGAATACACAAGGCAACGGTGCAGGACATAAACTAACCCTGTATTTCTCAGGATGAGTAAAACAGTGAGCTGACATCCAATGTGAACTCACTAAAGGGGTTTGCATAAAGATTAGGACCTTGGCTGGGGATTCCAACAGCTACCACCAGGAAGTAGATTCTTAACTTCCTATGTTGCAAATGGTTAACACTCTTGGTTGCTAACTGAAAAGTTGCAAGTTCAAGGCTATTCAGAGGCCCCTCAAAAGAAATGTCTGATGATCTCCTGAAAAATAAGCCTATGGAAACCCACAGTTCTGCTCTGACACATGAGGTTGCCATGAGTGAGAATCAACTGGATGCAACTGATTTTTTATGAACACAGGAGATGCTAACACTAGCATGGCCAAATTGATATTGGCTGGGAATAACTACTTTTCACAATGCATTTGTAGTCCGTGCCAGAATTTACCCTACATTCGTATTCCACAGGAGCAGGCAGGGACCTGGTCAAGGCATGCTGGTTATTGTTAATACCATCAAATTTCTTTGCCTCGACTTTGGCAATCAGGCATTAAGAAGCGAACAAACCAAATATCCCTTTGGTCAGCCACCTGGAGATGGTTTCACTACAATACTCTGCACTTAAGAGCCCCTTGGCCTGTTGGTCTACCAAATCACAGAAGAAGGGACTCAGTCTCTCTGCCTCACCACCTGCCAGCTAGACAAGTCACTTACTGTCTCCAGACCTCGGTGTCCCTATTGGTACAATGGCACAGTATCTGCTGTTGAAGCTACTGTGAACTCTACAATGTCCATTTAATGCCAATCACAATTCATAGCACCTGATAGGTTGTTGTTGTTGTTAGGTACTGTTGAGTTGATTCTGAATTATAGTGACCCTATGTGCAATAGAACAAAATACTGCCCAGCCCTGTGCCACCCTCACAATCTTTGCTATGCTTGAGGCCATCATTGGAGCCACAGTGTCAATCCATCTCTCTGAAGGTCTTCCCTTTTCTCACTGACCCTGTACCTTACCAAATATGATATCCTTCTCAGGGACTGGTCCTTTCTGACAACATGACCAAAGTATATGAGATGAAGTCTGGCCATTCTCACTTCTTAAATGGTAGCAATTTTTATGTTACCCTCTCATACTTATACTGGGAGCTCTGATGGCACAGTGCCTAAGGCATTTGACTGCTAGCCAGAAGGCTGGTAGTTCAAACCCACCCACCAGCCACTCCTTGGAAGGAAGATTGGGCGATCTATTTCTGTAGTGATAACCGCCTCAGAAACCCATGGAGGGGTCGCCATGAGTTGGATCTGACTCAACAGCAGTGAGTTTGGGTATTTTTTTTTTTTGGTTACACTTATGCTGGATCATACTATTGACACACCTATTCACACTTTGAGCTTCACCTGTATTCCTTTTTGCTTACTTCCTCTATTATTTAGTTTTCCTAATTTTCTATTATCTTGTATTTCCTAAAATTAGCCCCAGCAGTATTTCTCCCTTTAGACCTGGGTAGGCTTCTGTCAGCTCTCACCAATACAGTACCATGGAAGTAATGCTCTGTGGCTTCCAAGGTTGGTTCATAAAAAGGATGCAGCTTCTACTTAGCTCTCTCACTCTTATGACTCTCACCTTCAGAACTCAGCCACCATATTGTGAGGAAGCCCAAGCCACAGGGAGAAGCCATATGTAAGTGCTCAGATCAACAACCTTAGCTGAGTTCCCAGTCAACAGCCAACATCAACTGCCAGATATGTGAGTGAATGACCCTTCAGATGGTTCCAACTCCCAGACTTTGAGTTTCTCCAGCTAAGGCCAAATGGAGCATAGATGAAACTGTCCCCTTGCAGCCCTGCTCACATTGCAGTCTCATGAGAACAACACACGTTGCTGTTTGGTGGTGGACTGTTACATAGCTATAGTACTTGGAAGATTTTGCAAAGTAGGACATGATTTCATATCCAATTATAACAGGTCTATTTTATTTATGGCACCACAATATTATCATTAAGCTCCCTATATACAGAATACAGTTTGTGTCAGCAACCCCAGTGTGACTCTGCCCTTACTTTTGGGACAGTCCTCTTGCTGGGTGGTGCCAGAAGGTCCAGACCTGGGCAACAGCTACCAGGAAGCACATCTGTGCTTTTCCCCAGCTGGATGGGGGGTGACACAGACCCTGAGAATCAGATTGTGGGAAACTATGTGCTAGGGGCTTTGGATGTCAGCATTGGTGCTCTGCCTAGGGATCTCCAGAGACTGTGGTCCCCTTGGACTGTAGGCTTTTCCTCCTGATAACAACAGTGACGGGTCCATCAGGCATTGCCTTGATGATGTTCCAGGCTTCAAGACGTGTGAGGCCCTGCACGGCAGCACCAGCCAGTTGTAGGATCTCATCTCCTGGCTGGACTGTGTCACTCTGTTCTGAGGCTGTCCCTGGGATGAGAGATAAGAAGATAATGAGTTTCACAGGGGACAGGGCAACAGAAAAAGTTCCTTCCTACACTTGGTCTCTGAGGAGCTAGGCAGCTGGGACAAGAACAGGGTGTCCATCCCTCGATGGTTCTAAAACAAAGCATCTCATAAAATGATGATATGGAAGTTGAAACTCCAGGCTTCAGCTCTCTCTGGCCCTTAGGAAGGGAGTGTCTTATGCTGTCCCCAGGACAGGGAGATTTCAGGCAACTCCAACCCATAGCCTAGCTGGAGAGACATCTACAGTTGAGAGGACTCTGAGGAACTGACTCATCCACAAAGTCCCTTTGGACACAACCCAACATCCCACCCCTTCACATGCGGTCTTTCCCCTTCTAATTAGATCATCAGCATTGAATGGAAAGAGAAGGGAGCTGGTGAGATCTTCATGAAACAATCTTCATGGTGTGTTTGGCTCTGAATGGTCTGGAGAAGGCCCCTGGGCCCACATAAAGGGAACATAATTCTACATGGCTCCCATTCTTTCAAGCTGTCCATGAAAACAGTACTGTTTTACTGTTTATATGGAAAGAAAAATGTTCCCATCTATTTGACACAATGATCTTCATATATACTGACAAGAACAGAAAATAATAATGATAAAAATATGGTTAAAATATATTGAGCAATACTATGCTAAATGCTTTGCATTTATGATAATAACCCTATGAATATGCAGTTAATAGTCCAAGGACTCAAGTCAGTCACCCAAAGCTTCAGAGCTGCTAAGTGACAGGGCCTGAGTTTAAACCCAGACTTTCTGGCCCCAGGATCTGTTTTCCTAAGCACCACATCATCCTGCAGCTGATAGGCTCATCCCCACTTAAGCAAATGGACCAGCGTGGTCAAGTGACCTACCCAAGGTCTGCCATAAATGACAGAACTAACACAAGAATCTAGGTCTCCCAACTCTGAACCCTATGCTCATTCCAAGTTGACCTTCCAAAGTTAAAAATGTCTTTCCCAGAATTGGGGTAACATGGATTCTAAGTGTTATGGGTTGATTGTGTCCCCAAGAAATATATATTAAGGTACTAACCCTTGTACCTGTGAACATGACCTTACTTAGTCTTTGCAGATATAATTAGTTAACATAAAGTCATTAGGGTGGGCCTCAATCCAATATGACTGGTGTCCTTATAAAAAAGAAGACACATGGACACAGGGAGACAGAGGAAACACACCCATATGGAGACAGAGGCAAAGATTAGAGTTGTGCTGCCACAAACCAAGGAATGCCAAGGATTTCCAGAAGTTGGAAGAGGCAAGATAGGATCCTCCTGTAGAGCCTTCTGAGAGAGCATGGCCCTGCTGCCACTCTGAATTCAGACTTCTGGCCTCCAAAACTGAGAAAATAAATTTCTGTTGTGTTAAGCCACCCAGTTTGTAGTATGACAGCCCTAGGACACTGAGACACTAGGGGAACTGCCAAATGAGCTTCATTGAGTCCACCCTCAAGGTTTCAGCATCTACAGCAGAGCTTCCTCTAATAAAACTTACCAGTCATGAAGACTTAAGGGGACAGGAAGCAGAACTGGGATGCCCTTTGGGCTTCAGTATCAAGAGCCCTCAGAGATGTACAATGCCTCTTTTATAGATGAGGAGCCTTAGGCCTAGAAGGGAAGGGCCATTAGGGAACTCAGAGACAGAGGTGGGACTGGAACCCAGACCACTTGACTCCCTGTCCAGTGCTCCTCTCTCCACAACTCCTTGGTCTGTGGCTTGGGAGCTTCCATCTTGAGGCTCAGCAAAGGTTTTTATATGTCAGCCGCAGTTCACTTATAGTTTTCACAGGTATATCCAATATCCCCACTCCAGGTTGTCTTGTACCCCAATCCATGACTAACAAAATATCAAAATTTTAAATAAAGGCAGGATCCATCAAGTCCAGGATTAGGGTGAGGTGAGTGAGACTAAGTAGTGCAAGTGCAGGGTCAAACCTTGTCTTTATTTAAGACTTTGATATGTTGTTCACCACGGAGTTTTGACATTAATTTTGATTTTGAAAAAATATTTCATTGAGATATTACTTATCTTGATTACTGAGTAACTGAGCACCCCCTTACATTTTATACTCCAGGCCATGCCTCACTTGCCTCACCTGACTTGTCTCACCCCAGTCACAGCCCTGCTAAGCTCTATCAAGTCCAGAGCTCAGCTGCTTAAAAGAATTCAGCAAAATAGAGGGATTAAGGGGATGTATGAGCCAAGGAGAAAAAGCAAAATTGAGCTCTAAGAAGGCCTGCATGCCTCTCCAGAGGATATAGGGTTATGGGAAATCATTGTGGCCTAGAAAGTGCTCAGAAGCTGCCCACCATTGGAGAGAATGCACAGCCAGACATACACACACCTTTGAAAATCCTGTTAATGGTAAGAGGCTTGTCTCCATGAAGTGAGCCCTTTCCTCCTTCCAGACTGAAGCCCAGCCCTGCAGAGGTCTTCTCCAGTGTCACCGTGCAGACCGTGGCCTCTGCTGCTGAGAAAGACACAGGAGCTTCAGTCAGGGATCCTCTCCACTCCTAGACCATAGCATCTGGTCATCACATGAGCCCTAGCTGTGTGGCCTGCTGTACTTGGGTGTGTACACATATACACATGTAGCACACATACACACACACATCTCAGGTAACACAGTACCCACACATTCTTAGGGCCACAAATTACTTAGCAACCCTCCCAGGACTAGTCCCAAGTAGCCAAAAGCAATGTGACCCACGGCTCTTGGTGAGCTGGGAGAACTTACTGGATTCTACAGAAGCATTACTGGCTACAGAGGTTGAGGCTGCAGAGTCAGTAGAGGAGTTTGGGTCAGGCGCAATCTCCAAATCTGGCTTTCTTGTGACAATCACGGCTTGCCGTGGGTCTCGAGCTTGGCGGAAGATGGCCAAGGCATCGGTGTGTGTGGCCCCTTTGAGAGACTTCCCGTTGATGGACAGGACCTCGTTGCCCTTCTGAATAGTCCCTTCCTGGGAGGCCAACCCATTTGGGAACACTCGGTGAACCTGAGCAAACCAAAGTTCAGGGCCCAGAAATCTCCAGTTAGTCAAGTTGGGAGGATTTTTAAGCCAAAGAAAACAGTCCCCTTTCTGTAAGATGTGTAGGACAAAATAATTGCATGTCTTTCCTTCAGCTTCCTGAATGAGGCAATGCTATGGACTGAATTGTGTTCTCCCTCCAAACTGGTTAAGTTCCTAGTGCTTATACCTGTGGATTTGACCTTGTTTGGAAATAGGGGCTTTCCTTTGTTATGTTAATGTGATGATATAAGGCATTCCTAAACCTAGTCACTTCTGAGTTACAAAAAAAGCAGATTAGGTATACACAGATGCCATGTGAAGATTGTGTATAATCCAAGGAACCAAGGAACACTTGGGGCCACCACCAAGGAAGGAACCAGCAAGGCTGAGACTCTGATTTCAACTTTTAACCTCTGGACAATGAGATAATAAATACCTGTTCTTTAATGACACCCACCGCAGTATCTGTATTACAGCAGCACTAGCTAATGAAAACAGATTCTTATGTGCACAATTAAGAGGATGGTTGTCTGTGTGGGCAATCCCTAAAATGTGAATAAAGCTCTAACTTGTTTCTCTAAATTGTTTTGGTGTTGGAGAATGTCTTATCATGTTGCCAGATGTGGTCTCCGTTCTCAGGCTACAAGACCCAAGTAGAAAGCAGAACTTCTGCTCTGAATCTCAAGTCTGTTCCTCATCTGTAAAATGAGGGAAAACACCACCAATTCCCTACTGCTGGGTATTGGAAAGATTAATTTAGACAACACAACAGTGAGTGCCTGTGGTACTTGGTCATGGGTGGTGCTCAACATTAATTCCTTTTTAATGAATCTGAAAGGAGCTACTGTGCTCAAACACAGAAGGAGAAAGAGGAAGTTCTTGTGCATATGCTCAGCCAACATGTATTGTGCCTTCCTGGTTTTTGAGGGACTACATTGCCTCAGGAGTGGACAGCCAAATGCAGTGGAGAGAAATCCCTACCCAAGGGCAGAGGAGAAGATCCAAAGTGCTATTCCCACACACATGTTCTCCTTCCTTCTCTTCAAATAGAAAGTGAACTGCAACATCCGGAACCTCTTTATAATACTCCGTTATGTGGTTAGTGACAGAAAGAGGGCCTTAATTGGTTTTGTATGCTTATTCATGGTAGAAGGAGCTCTGGTGGCACTGTAGTAAGGGATTTGGCTACTAACCAAAAAATCCACCATTCTAACCCACCAGCTGCTCCATGGAAGAAAGAGAGGTAGTCTGCTTCTGTACAGATTTACAGCATTGGAAACGCTTTGGAGCAGTTCTACTCTGCCCTATAGGGTCACTATAAGTTGGAGTTGACTTAATGGCAGTGGGTTTGGGGTTTTTATGTACATGGTAGAGAATTTGGAAAGAGATCAAGGAAGTACTGCTTACACAGTGTCGACTCTTGAAGTGACCAGTAGGAATGTTCCAAGGCACTATTGCAGGGGATTGTGGTGTGTTTCATGCTTGGTGATGCTGTGAACTGGAGGGCTTGTTTTCAGCTGGGTAAGGAAATTAACATGAACCCAGCACAGCCCACGTGAAGATGAGATGTCTATAAACCACTTGGGTCAGTTATAAGTGACCTGAAGCAGAGGGCAGAAAGAGCAGTAGCCAAGGCTGATTAGATGGCATAGGCCAGATAAAGCAGGTCCATAGGGAAAGATCTAGATCTGCTCCCCTCCCCATACCTATCCCAGCCTCTAGCAGGTGCTAAGCAAACAGGGAGCCACAACATCTATGCCTCTGGGTGTGCATCATGTGAATGCAATAACTGTTGCTTGTTCTCACCAGTGGGGCCCCACCGATCTCAGCCAATCACCAGGTCAGCTTCACAATTGTTCAACTCAGTGTTTTTGTTCTCCAAATAGGTAGTGGATAAGGAAGCCATTTGGCTGCTAAACCAGAAGGTCAGCAGTTCATAACCCACCAGCCACTCCAGAGAAGGAAGATGAGGCGATCTACTTCCATAAAGATTTATAGCCTTGGAAACCCAATGGGGATCACTATGAGTCCCAACTGACTCAATGGCAGTGAGTTTGATTTTGGTTTTTTAGTAGGTAAAAACAGGTAGCCGTAGTGCCTAAGCCACTTGACTGCTAACCGGAAGGCTGGAGGTTCAAACCCACCAGCCACTCCTCGGAAGGAAGGCTGGGCAATCTACTTCTGTAGTGATACTGCCTTGGAAACCCAAGGAGGGGTCACTACGAGTCAGGTCTGACTCCACAGCACATAACAACAACAACAACAACAACAAACAGGTAAGCAGTGGGAGTTCTGGCAAGATGGCGGACTAGGCAGAAGGATTGCACAGACCCTCTTCAACAAAGAAAAGGGAAACCAATTAACACAGACACAGAAGATAATCTTGG